TTTTTTTTTTTTTTTTTTTTTTTTTTAGGAAAGGTGAAGAAGAATCTAATATTATTTTAATATTTATACAAAATTTTTAATTAGGTGATAAATGTGATATATATTGTTTAACACATGTTACAGTTTTCATGATAGTTGAAAACTTTTTTTTAAATAATAATAATAATAATAATATTTACGCATGCTAATTCGTGCAATTATAATACGAATATTTAACAGCAAAAACAACAAAACTGCATGCATAATATATATTTTGCATATTTTAGGAAAGATCATAGATGTGCACAATAACAAGTATAATATCATATTTTGATATAATTTAAATATTAATACATTAACTTAGCATTATAATAATAATAATAATAACAATAAAATTATTATTTAAATGCTCTAATTTTGTTGAAGAACAATTAAAAGAAAAACATTGTTAAATTTCTTACGAATAATTAGAATAATTTAATCTAGTATTATTATATAAATAAATATCTATATATGATTTTCTACATGCACAACATAAAACTAATTAGAGAAGAATATTAAAAAAAAAAATTTTAAAAGGAGCGTACGAATTATCATATAAAAACAAAAAACAAAAAGAAAAAGAAAACATTATATATATACATATGTATAATACATGAAAATCCAAACGTTTAATTGGCGCTTCCTAATTTGGGTCCCCGTCCCACCTTCCAACAAAAACTATATATTTAGTTAAATCCAAGCTTGTTTACTCTTCTTTCGTTTAATGTACCTGAAAGGATTGTCTGTAATTTCCCATGGGTCCTTGTGTTTTATCCCGTGTAATCGCGGTATCAGCTTTGAACATGGATTCTTTTTAACATTTAGTCATTCCGCATTTGACGTTTTAAATCTAATAAGATCATTTGCATAAGTACAAACTGAAGCAATTGCAACAACAACAAAAATAAAAGGAGAAACAAACAAGAAGCAAAAAAAAAAAGAGGAAAAAAAAATAGCAATGACGTGTTTCACTTCTTCGATTCGTTTATTATTAAAATTCATTAAAGTGTCAAATTAAGATATGCATCGTTCGATATTGTTATTCCAAGAACTAAAGTGTTACGCGTTACGATATCTACGAATTGTTTTCCTATTGTGAAACCCTTTGTTTTGCGCAATTCCTGTATCTTTTCGAAATTGCATACATTGGATAGAAAATAGGGGTGACTAAGAAGAGAAAGAGAAACAAAGAAACAGAAGAATGGGGTTTCTTGTAATCGGGTTGACGAAAAGGCCTCCGTACCTCGTCGAAACTGAAGATGAAAAGACCCCATGGTGTTGGTGTTGGCTTCTACTGCATAGCTGAGGGTTGAAATCGATACCGTTTCCAGGGTAACCGTAGGTACGGTGCCCGACACACGAGTGTTGGAACAGGCCAAGGCTATCCACTTATGCATTTTCATGCTGTTCTAAAAAAGGACAAAAAAGAAAGCAAAAGATAAATACTTATTGTTACAGTGATTCTTTTATATCCTTTTTTTTTAAGCTTTTAATTTCTTTATCCTTTTTTTTTTTGTTTAGCTTTATACCATCTCTCCTCTTCTCTCTCTCTCTCTCTCTTTCTCTCTTTCTCTCCTTCTTTGTTTCGAACATTTGTTAATTGCTATGATACGAAATGTATGCAACCAAATGAAATTTATTATTATTAGTTTAATTTAAACAAAACGTTTATTTAGTTTGTTAGTAGTTCGTTTAAATCATACGCGTGTCTCTCTTTTAACTCTCAATCAAATGTACGTATTAATATTATGTGGAAAAGTTTAATATGCTGATAGATAGTTGATCGTGTTTTCTTCTTTCATATTATTCATTTGATATTATTCAAGGCGTGGCATTATATTCCCTACTTCAAGCACTCGCTACGATTGTTTGTGAATCGGCTTTGATTGTACCGAAAATCAATATTAGGTAGTAGCGATGACTCCACTACATGAAATGCTATGATAAGTTTATATATTATCTATGCTAGGGTAACTTAATCTCTAATATTATTTGTTTAATTATGATTATAATTCAATGGATTTTTGTTTTATTAATTAATGATTGAGAGACGTTAATTCGTTTAAAAAAAAAATTAATCGAATGATATTAAAATAAGAGAAATCGTTATAATAATTTATTGATTTTTATAACAAATTATGTAAAAATGATCGCGTGATCGTCGTAAATCAAGAATGAAAATAGTGACACACTTGTAAATTTGAATGATTTATATAAAAGTAGTAATACGTAAAAGTGCAAATACGACAAATATATAATATATATATAAAAGAAATATTTATAAACTAGAAGAATTTTTTTTGTTTTTAAATTGAACGTAAAATTAAAATGCAAATTCGGTTAAATTACCATAAAATATACACGAATGTAATTTTGAGTATAGATCACTTGATCAATATCAAAGATGAAAAGAAAAAATATCTGGTTATAAGGTAAAAAAAAAAAAAAAAAAATGAAAATGACAATATAAAGTTTCAGAACTCTTTGAAATATAAAGTTTTCTATTCTCTCTCGTCAAAATTCATTGAACGAGAAAATGAAATTCCGAAGACAAAGAAATCGTTCTCATAGAAAATAGATTTCGTTGGATACCAATAATTTCACATTTGCCAAACAAACCAAAGAAATAAATGGAAAAATTAAAAAGAGAAAATATAGAAAGGGGGTGAAGATGAAAAAAAGGAAAAAAAAAGAAGGAAACAAAATAGGAAAGTTAAAAAAAAAAAAAGAGAAATTCTATCGTTATTTTGTCGCGTGCTACAACAGTAGTCTAGTATCTACAGGTTGTTGAGTTCGCCCTCGGCATCGGGGATTTCTCTTTCTCTTTCTCTTTCTCTTTCTCTTGTTCTCTTTTCCTCTCTTTCTTTCTTTCTTTCACTCATTTTCCCGCCCGTGTAACCGGCTGGCCCTACTTCTCTTTTTCTCTTTTATACGCTTTTTCTCCTATACCTACGCTATGTACTCACGACTTTGTCCTCCTCCCCCACGTCGTACACTTTCTGAAGATCAATTTACTGCGGCGCACGAGAAACTCCCTTTGTCATCGATTGCCAATGGTCGGGGTTGGTTTCTCTTCAACATCGGCAGACGCCTCTCGTTCTAGACGACTTCACGTTCAAACGGAACGCACTCACTTACTCGCCCACTCACTCATTCACTCTACTTTACTCTACTTTAATCAGTGAGATTTGAGAATATTATCGATAAGTACTCTTGCTACATTATAACAAGAAATATTTACAATGTACAGATCGATCCTACGAAATAAACAATCTGCCCATTTCTCATTTTTATTAACTTATGTTAATTTATCATTGAAGTTTTATTTTGTTCAATTTTTATTCGTACTTCTTTTTGCAATTTGTTCAAATTATGAATGTATTTACATTAAAAAAAAAAAAAAGGTTTTTATTATTTTAACGTAAGAAATCATTATTATCAAATAATATATAATATAAAAATAAATCTTATACATGAATTCTACTTTTATAGAATTACAAATGTATTTTAACTAATTCGACATATTTAATAACAAAAGAAAATAGTAATAACATTGTTACTAAGTTATTTAAAAAAATATTAATATCTTGGAAACTTCTAAAAGAATCTTCTACAAAGAAATATTCATTTCAATATTTCTATCAACGCGAATGAACTTTATATATATATATATAAATTGTAATTGATATTACTTTACTTAAACGTGTCATTATTATATATATATAAATCTTTTCCCTCATTTTAACGAGGATATAATTTCATGAATTAAAATTAAAATTAAAATTAAATTTTATATCATATTCTAATATATATATCTACATTTATATATGTAATTTGTGTTAATAGGTGAAATATATGAAGAAAGAAAAGTAAAGCGGGAAAATTAGCAGTTTAAGAATAAAGCATTCAAATCACCAGATTTCCCGCCACGTTATCGACTGGTCAAGGTGCGCATGCGTAAAGCGGTTATCGGCGCGGTCATCGAGCGGTGGCCATTGATTGGCCAAGCCGGTTCAGCGGTACTGTGCCGCGCCGTGACGCCATATTGGATTTCTCTTTTAGCGACCCACCCAACGACAGTGGCAGCAACGGTGGTGGGGTGGTGGTGATGGAGGTGGTAGCAGAACGACGGAGGTGTGGAGGTGGTGGATGTGGAGGTGGTCGTGGCGACGGCAAAAGCAGCACCAGCAGCAGCACCAAGGTAGATATTCAAGCAGTCGCGCATTAACGCTATTGCCGTGTGCGCTTACGTATACGGTGCCGAAATTTTTCTAATATCGTATTATTTTACGAGAACGCGGGGGACGAGAATATTAAAGAAAGGGGGATTAGAATATTTTAATCAAATATATACATATACATATATATATATACAGACACACATAGAAAAAAAAAATATCAGTCTTGAATTTCCTTTCAAAGCTCCGTCACGTACGTTCTATCTATCATCCATCCATTTCGTCGTGAAAGAGACAGAAGAAGATTCTAAACCGAAGTACCAGTGTCTGAGAAAGAGAGAAGAAGAAAAAGGAAAAGAAGAAGAAGGAAGCAGAGGTAGAGGTAGCAGGCAGGCAGGCAGGAAGATGAAGGGGATGATGCTGCCCGCGTTCTTCCTGGGCGTCCTCTTGGTCTCTCGCGTTCAGGTGAGTTTACCTAAGAAATGTAAATAACCAATCTCTTACTACAGTCTCTCATATATTTGTTTCTCTTTTTCACTTGGAGAGAAAGCCGCAATGACGTTTCATGCGAATGTTAGTTCTTATTAAGAATGCATATACTTTCAAATGCATATATATATATATATATATACGAACAAGGTGGAGTATTTACTACGAAGTTTGTCAGAAACATGGGATTATTAAATGTCGGCTTAATCAAAGATTTCTTTTTACAATTAATCAATGTGGTTAGACTCTTGGAAAGTCTTGCGGCTGGGTTACTTGAGATGATGATGATGAGATACGAGTAATAAGGATTCAAGAAGCACAACCAATGTCTCTTCCTATTATATACACAAGAAAGGCTTCTTCCATTCTATCTATCATTTATTATTATTTTTTTCTTTTACTTTGCAAAAGATTATTAATATACGAAATGAAAAGGGTTTACAAAAGGATATTTGAAATTTGATTATTTTCAAATATAATCAGCAGCGAATCACAACGTCCTTTTTATTTCGCATATACTATTAGCAATGATTTACAACGAAGAATGCTGATTGGTTCATAAAATTCGTCGACAACGATGATGGCGACCATCGATCGATTCGTCCTCCTTCTCCACCTTCACCTACTCCTTCTCTCTTTGTCGTTGTCGTCGTCATCGTCGTCGTTGTCGTTGTCGTTGTCGTCCTCGTTGTCATCATCCTCTTCATTCTCGTTGTCATTGTCATTGTACGATTTGACGAGTTTTTGGTTTATCAACATTTTTCTAAAGAAATGTCGCACATGACGATGAGAAAGAAAGTTTACCATGGCTGCCGTCAAACAGGAGCCGCTCTCCTCTCTCTCTTTCTCTCTCTCTCTCTCTCACTCTCTCTCTCTCTCTCTCCCCGATCGATGCACGCGCCGGTGCTTCGTGCTTTAATATGTTCCAAGTACTTTCCAAGTGAACCCGCACGCCCCCCCTTCACCCTTCATCATTCCTCTTTCTCCTTCTACTTCTCTTCCTCCTTCGCCCCCCCTCTTCCTCGTAACGATCGTCGACTTCTCTTTCTCTTTTTCTTTCTTTCTCTCCCTCTCCCTCCCTTTCTCTCTCTTTTCTCTCTTACATTTAATTTCTTTTTTCTTTTTCTTTTCTTATCTTAGGATTTTTCTTACGATTTTTGTTCACCCTGTAGAAAATCAACTGTCAACGAGGAGATTGATTTTAATTGGTTGCCTCGTTATCTCTAGCATCGATGCAGTGATTAGTTTTTTGGACAAAAAAAAAAAAGTTTTCGCGTTTTGTAATGACGCGTTTAGAAAAAAATTCCTTTTTATTTTTTTTCATTTTTTATCGTACCTTCTTCGATTTTCATTAGAATCTGACAACGGAGATTCGTTTGATTAATGAAATGAAACGTCATTGAGATTGATTTTGATTGGTCGTCTCGTTATCCGTATCAATACAGTGATTGGTTTTAGTCGAAGACAAATTTTTGATTTAATGAGAGAGGTTTTTTTTTTGTTTTTTAAAATAAAAAATAGTTTATCATGAAATTTGACAGATTCTTTTGATAGTACAAAAATAAAAAGGAAAATAAAATGTTAACTAAATTGATTTTAACCAATTTGTTCATCTCGTTATTCGTATCAATGCAACGATTGGTGGAAATGATTTGGGGATT